TCATCCACAACTAATCTTATCCTTTATGCAGGCCCGGCCCGGCCCAGTCCAGTCCAGTCCAGAACAGCCTCTGTGCATGCGCACACATACCTTGTTGAGTGCATATGCCCACTGCGTGTGCGCGCACGTGAGCGCACGCGCGCGCACACACACGATAATCTCTGCACACACGCTCTCGTATACACATACTTGGCTGGACCTTGTCCTTGGCCCCTCAGGCCACCATCCTCACCTGGTCCCTTTTCCCTGGACCCCCAGGTGTCTGCGCTGAGGCGCCTGGCTAAGCCCATGTCTGAGCGCGTGGCCGGCCGGGCAGCGCTGAAGCCGCCCATGCTGGACTCCGGGGCAGAGGTGTCCGCCAGCACCACCTCCTCAGAGGCGGAGTCAGGGGCCCGCTCCGTCTCCAGCATCGTGCGCCAGTGGAACCGCAAGATCAACCACTTCCTGGGGGACCCCCCCACGCCCACTGTGAATGGCACCCGGCCTGCCAGGTATGGGGGGGGGGGGCATTGCCTGCGACAGAATCAGGTGTGGGGCAGGGCGAGGGTGAAGGAAGCCCTGTGAGGGTCCCCACGTCTGTCAGTTCTGAGTTGGGGGGGGGGGCACCAGGGAGGCTGCAGAGGCTGGGAGGTGGTCCCATACTATCCCCTGTGCCTCCGTCTCCCCAGAAAGAAGTTCCAGAAGAAGGGGGCCGGCCAGAGCTTCAGCAAGGCGGCGCGGCTGAAGTGGCAGTCCCTGGAGCGGCGCATCATCGACATCGTCATGCAGAGGATGACCATCGTCAACCTGGAGGCCGACATGGAGCGGCTCATCAAGGTGGGCCCTCCCCGCCGGCCGAGCCCCCAACCCTGGCCTCGAGCCTGCTGTCTGTCCATCCCTCTGAGGCCTCTTCCCCCCGCGCCCCGCCCAGAAAAGGGAGGAGCTGTCGCTGCTGCTAGAGGCGCTGCGCAGGAAGCGGGAGCGCCTGCAGGCAGAGAGCCCGGAGGAGGAAAAGGGGCTGCCCGAGCTGGCCGAGGAGATGGAGGTGCTGGCGGCCAACATCGACTACATCAACGACAGCATCACCGACTGCCAGGCCACCATCGTGCAGCTGGAGGAGACCAAGGTGCCTGCGGGCGGGCGGGTGGGTGGGGCACCGGGGGTGCAGGAGCAGCCGCGTGACCACGGGCTCTGTGCCCCCCCTCAGGAGGAGCTGGACTCCACAGACACATCGGTGGTCATCAGCTCCTGCTCCCTGGCTGAAGCCCGTCTCCTGTTGGACAACTTCCTCAAGGCATCCATCGACAAGGTGAGCGGCCACTTCAGCCTGGCACGGGGATACTCACTGGCCTGCATCACAACCCACCTGGGCATTGCCTTTGTCTGCCAGCCTCTGATCAGTGCCTGCTGGGCCAGGGTGCCGGCTGCCGAGCTGGTGGGTGTGGCCTGACTTTGAGGAGAGCCCGTGTCAGGGAGTGATGTGGCCCCAGGCTCATGGCAGGGCCTCCATCCAGGGGACCTGTCTGTGGCCTGGGGCATCTCCAGCAGGGCTGGGTGGGCCTGAGAACAATGGGTATTACCCGCTGACAGAGCTGCCTGGAGGAAGTGCTCTCCCCCCCTCCCCCACCAGCCTCCGCCTGGGAGAGTTATGGAATGGGGGTGGGGAGACAGTGTCTCCTGGCCCTGTCCCAGGTGACTTCTACCATGTAGTGGCAGAAGCTACGTGGGCTGGGGGAGGGAGTATCAGATAAGTGACAGGTATGAGGCTGGCACCTGGTCCCCCACAGGTGTCTTGTGGGAAGGCAGTGACAGGGCACCCACCATCCTGGGCCCGGAAGGTGAGCACAGGTCTTGCTCTCTGCCTCAGGGGTTGCAAGTGGCCCAGAAGGAGGCCCAGATCCGGCTGCTGGAGGGACGGCTGAGGCAGACAGACGTGACGGGCTCCTCCCAGAACCACCTGCTCCTGGACGCCCTACGGGAGAAGGCCGAGGCTCACCCCGAGCTGCAGGCCCTCATCCACAATGTGCAGCAGGGTATGCACGCGGGGCGAGTGCTGTCCCCACCCCCCTGCACCCTCCCTGTCTTGGGGAGTCCCCGGTGGGTGGGATGCCTGTGAGACTGACTGTCCCTTGTCCCCCTCGCGGCGCTCACCCTCCTCCCCACCACAGAGAACGGCTACGCCAGCACCGATGAGGAGATCTCGGAGTTCTCTGAGGGGAGGTGAGCTTCTGAGTTGGGAATAGGTGTTCCCTGAGGCAGGGGGGAGGGCTGCCTGGGGTCCCAGGGATGAACCTGGTGTGGGAGGCTCCTGGGGACCACCAGTCAAAGCCCAGATGCCAGGGCCCTCTGAACTCCCTCTGCTTCGTCCCCTAGCTTCTCCCAGTCGTTCACCATGAAAGGCTCCACCAGCCATGATGATTTCAAGTTCAAGGTGAGCTCCCAGCTCCAGCCTCCCCCAGTGGGGTCCCACCTCACTATGACTCTGCCCTGCTCCCCATCCTGACCCAATAGTTCCCCCAGCTGGGATGGGGGAGCCTGGAAGAGGCTGCCCTAGGAAGGGATTGGGGCGTGCACAGGGGGGCGAGTCCGGCACTGTCAATTCTGCCTGAGGCGGATGGAATGGCGGGAGGCTGCTGTCAGGTGCTGCCATAGGCAGAGGCTCTGCTTGCAGCTCCCCGCACCTCCCCTTGCCTCTGCATCCCAGACTCCTCTAGACCACAGTGAGGTGAGTGTCATGGTAGGACTGGCTAGTAGACTGAGCCACAGAATCGGACTTTTTACAGAGAGAGGGAACAAACCCCACAGGCTGGGGAGGCTGCATTATGTGTAATTTCCAGATAAAATGATTAATCGGGGATCAGCAGGAGCCCTGGTGGCCTACTGTGTTACCAGTTGGGCTGCTAACCAAATCATCAGCAGTTCGAAACCACCAGCTGCTCCAAGGGCGAAAGATGAGGCTTTCAATTTCTGTAATGAGGGACAGTCTCAGAAACCCACGGGGACAGTTTTACCATGTCCTGTAGGGTCGCTGAAAGTCAGAATCGACTCAGTGGCAGTGGGTTTGGTTTGAGGGAGAACAACGGTTGGTCTGTGTTGGCAGGAGTCATGAAACAAGCTCATTTACTCTGGATTCTTCCGGAAGGCCTTGAGGGTCTAGCTGGAGAGCCTGCCCAGGAGCTGCCTCTGTATGATGACTGTCTTGTCCTTCTACTGGTTTCCTTGCCTTAGGCCAGGGTGCCCCCTCGGGCTCATCCTGCATGTGCCCCCCCTTCCCGACCTTGGGCAAGGCAGCTCACCCCAGCACTTCCTTCCCCAGGGAGAGCCCAAGCTGTCCGCCCAGATGAAGGCTGTCTCGGCCGAGTGCCTGGGCCCCCCGCTGGACATCTCCACCAGGAACATTACCAAGTCCCTGGCCTCCCTTGTTGAGATCAAAGAGGACGCGGTGGGCTTCTCCATCCGAGACCCCTATTACCGGGACAAGGTCTCCCGCACCATCAGCCTGCCCACCAGAGGCAGCACTTTGTGAGGAGGGGGAGCCTGGGACAGGGGTCCGGGTGGGCAGGGAGTGGGGTCTGGGCCTCATGGCACCCTTCCCTTCCAGCCCTCGGCAGTCTCGTGGAGTGGAGACATCCCCTCTGACCCGCAGGAAGTCCTACGACCGAGGACAACCCATTAGGTGAGAGCGGGATCAAGCTAGCAGGCCAGGGTCTCTGCTGGTCCAGTCCTGGGCTGCCCGCCTCTGTCCATCGCCACGTCCACTCTCTAGTCCAGGCCCATTTGTCCAAGGCATTCCACTTCTCCCCGTGGTCCCCTCCCCGGCCTGTGGGGAGCAGGCTCAGGAACTGTTCGTTGTATGTGTGCTCAATGTGGGTGACTTTGCAGTGACTTGAAGTGGTCATTGTTCAGATGTGCTCCAGCCCCGTCTCATGGCCAGCAGTCGTTGTCATGTGAGAGGGGTGTAGAAGTTCAAAGAGAAAGCAGAGAGGTTCGTGCAGAACGGTGGGGAGCCTGGTCAGCCAGCGCGAGCCCGGCCCCACAGAGATTCTGTGCTTGGGATGTGTCTTGGAGCCATCTGCTGCAGGTCCTTAGCTTTCAGACTAGCGTGGTGTTCTTCCCCAAGTACACAGGATGTCGTGGAGGCAGGGGATGGGCTGGCCCGCACTCCTTGCCCCCTCCCTCACTAAAGACCGAGGAGATGCCCATGGCAGAGGTGGCCTTTGAGGAAGAGCTGGTGACACGTGGAGCCTTACAGACCCTCCATCGAGAGAATGTGCCTACACTGTAGGTCGAAGGATTTAGGCCAGATTGACCTTGGTGGTGTAGTGGTTATACATTGCGCTGCTAGCCACATTGTCAGCAGTTCAAACCCACCAGCTGCTCTAAGAGAGAAAGATGAGGCTTTCTATTCCTGTAAAGCAGCTTTCTATTCCTGTAAAGCATCCAGTTCTCAACCTCTGGGTTGCAACCCCTTTAGGGGTCAAATGACCCATTCACAGGGATCACCCGATTCATAACAGTAGCAAAATTACAGTTATAAAGTAGCAACGAAAATAAATTTATGGTTGGGGGGTCACCACCACATGAGGAACTGTATTAATGGGTTGTGCCATTAGGAAGGTTGAGAACCACTGCTGTAAAGAGTTACAGTCTCAGAAATCCTCAGGGGCAGTTCTACCCTGTCCTGTAGGGTTGGTTGGTAAGAGTTGGCATTGACTCGTTGGCAGGGAGCGTTTTGGGGACCCATTTCTCAGTGTGTCTTTCTGTGGCGGCTTGCATGTTGCTGTGCTGCGGGAAGCTCTTCTGCTGGTATCTCAAACACCAGCAGGGTTGCCCACTGTGGACAGGCTTCCGAGGAGCTTCCAGACTAAGGAGAAAGGTGTGGTGACGGAGGTCTGTAAACGAGCCAATGAGATCACAGCAGAGCATTGGCTGGCGTAGTGAAGGGGCATGAACTGCTGGCTTGGAAGGCGTCATGTACATCAGGCACAGGACTGGTCTCGGACCGGACCCGCTCGAGCCGGGACGATGGTGCCGGGGCAGGCATGTTTCACTCTGTTGTGAGATTTGCTGCCGTTGGTGCCGACCCAACAACTTGGAAACTGAGGAGGGCTTTCCAAAGAGGGATCTTGGGGACTTGGGAAAGGGAGGTTCTTGCAGGTCTTAGACTCCTTGGAGGGATTAAGAACTGAGCCTGTCAGGTTAATTGGGGGTTGGGCTCCAAGAGTATTGCCCGCTGGGCCTTACAACCGGGACAGACAAGGTGCTAGAAGCACAACCCTATGGGCCTGTGGGCAGGGGGGTGTGGTCACTAACAGGCACTGCCCTCTGTCCCAACTCCCCAGGTCTACAGACGTGGGATTCACGCCCCCCTCATCCCCTCCCACTCGGCCCCGTAATGACCGAAACGTCTTCTCTCGTCTCACCAGTAATCAGAGCCAGGGGTCGGCGCTGGACAAGTAAGAGACAGGGGGGAGGGCGCTAATGAGGGTGAAGTGCCTGTGGCCGGGGCCTGGCCAGAGGGAGGCAGCGCTGGGGCGGGCATGCACCAGCCATGCTGGTGGGGCCCTGTGAGCAGAGAGGCACAGAGCCCTCCTGGCTGGCACCTCTGCCGCTTCTGTCCTGACTGGACTCTTCCCATTCCCTAAACATGTTGGGAGTTTGAGAGGACAAGTAGGGAGCTACAGGGTGTGGGGACAGGACAGCCTGGTGTTGATGGCCACGCAGGTCAGGCCCAAGAGGATTTCCCCCAGGACTGCCCTTTCAGTCACCCTCTGCTGATTCATTGGGGTCTCGGAAGCCCCTTCCTTCAGCTCCATCCACTGCCCTCCTGCTGTAAATGCTCAGACAAGCCCACGCTGGCCTTGGTGAGCTTCCCTGCAGGGAGATGCTCCCTCACTGAGCAGGTTCAGCTCAGCCAAATCTGCAACTCGGGTTGTAAAACCCCAATTACAAATGGCACTGCTTTGTGCCAGGGCGCCTGCACACTGCCCACCCCGCCGCCCTGAGCTGTAACCGCCCAGGAGACAGTGGTGTCCCGCCTAATGTACATAGCAGGCAAGAAGGCTTACAGTGGGCAGTGTGTTGCCTGTGGACCTTCCTACCAAGTGACCAAGCAGGTACCGGAGCCGGGGTTGGCACCGCCCACCGGCATTGTCTTCCTGCAGTGGGAAAGTGGGTGACCCCGCTCTCCATACCTTCCTCTCTATTGCCCCAAGTGGCTGGATACTCACAGCCTCTCAGGCCCCTCTGCACTGAATAATACATTACCCCCACCCCCACTGGGAGGCCCCAGAATGTTTCCTAAAATCTCACCGGCCCCTGCCCCGGGTGTGCTGCTGCCGTGTCCTTTGAGAGAGCACAGGCTCGAAAGGGTTTCGGAATTACCCCTGGGGCCGGACACCAGCCTCTCTGGATGGGACAGTGCTCAGTGAAGGCTGGCCAGGCACCCTGCGCCCCAGGCCTGCTTCAGCTCAGGATCCCATGGGAGGGTGGGCTGAGCCTGGCCCACCGCCACCCAAGGTGCCTGCCATCTTTGTGGCTGGATTGGAACTCTGACTGTCCCTGCCTAGTGGTCTTGCAGTAGTCCTGCTGGGGCTAGGCCAGATGGGGCAGTGGCCCCCCCCATGGGTATGGGGCCAGCGTCCAGACATACTCGAGGGGGCTGTGGGCCCAGTGCATCAGGCCCCCGCTGGACAAAGCCAGCTCTCCGGGAGGGGCTGGAGCAGGCATGCTTCCTTGGCCCTGGGCAGCTAGGAGCCTCTTAGTGCTGGAGCAGGGGCCCAGCTTATGCGGGAGGGCAACCAGGGAGCTTGGAACCAGCACACAGCCGGGGAGCAGTCTCTTCCAGAGTGTGAGGCCAGCTCTGTGACCCCCCCACAGCCCCTCCTGACTCACCCCTGGGGGCCCGCTCCAAACCGGAGGAGTCTCCCAGCTCTTAAGCCAGCCAGCCCCCACCTCCCTCCTGCTCTCCCAGCACCCTATCCGTCCACCTCACTCCGCTGCCCTGGAAGAGAACATAACCTTTCCTCTGACCTGATGCTGCCGCCGCCTCTGCCGCCCCGTGTGCCTCCCACCCCCTCTCCCCTAATCCAGCTAATTTTCTGCCCTTCCCAGGTCTGATGACAGCGACTCCTCTTTGTCGGAGGTCCTGAGGTACACACGGAATGTCTCCTGTTTGCTCCCCAGCACTCTCGCCTCTCTCTCTTCCTCTGTGCCTCTCTCTGGCTCTCTCTGCACCCGCCTGCCCCTGCCTGCACTCCTCGCCCCAGCATGCTGCCCACCCGCCCCGTGACTCCCTCTCAAGGCTGCTGCATGGCCTCTCACAGCCAGGCCCTCGCTGGAGCTGGGGGCTGGGGGCGGGTGCGAAGTTGCTTGTCACAGGCCGGGCCTCCATCTGCCGCCACCACCGCCGCCGCCGCCACCACCGCCGCCGCCGCCTGGGTTGGGAAGGGCGCCGCATGAGAAGCAGGGTGGACTGGAGAACGGCCTGGCGGGGAAGTGTGGGTGCGGGGGTGGGGGCGGCGGGGGCGGGCCCTGCACTGTCCACCCCGCGAGGGGCCACGGCGGTTGTGATTAGGTTCTGCATGTCCTGCTCGAGTGGCACCACTAGGGGGCCTCCTAGGCTGGGATTCAGCCAGGGGTGCTGGGGAAGGAAGTGCCCCTGCTCACACCTTTGGGCACGCAGGTGTGTAGGCCCTTCTGTCTCCGCACCCAGCTTGTGGGATGGCCAGCCTGGAGGCCTCCCCAACCTACCCAGCCCCTCCCGCCTCCCATAAAGGGGTGGGGTACGTCCCAGGTCCTGGCCAGAGACTGACCAGCAAAAGGCCACTGTGGGGCACACGGTGTGCTCTCTGCCCACCTGCCCAAGGCCCTGGTGTCGGCGTTTGTGATGATGGTCTCCTGCGCGGCTCGTGGGCTGCTGGTCAGCGGCTGCTCTCGTGGGAGGCAGAGCCCATCTGTTCAGTTCTTTTACGTATTCCCCAGGGCGGGCAGGCTTCTTCCCGGACACACTCCCTGCCACAGAGTCGGTTCAGACTCATAGCAGCCCTGTCTGATAGGGTAGCGCTGCCCCTGTGGGTTTCTGAGACTGTCGCTCTTCACGGGAGCAGAAAGCCTCGTCTTTCTCCCATGGAGCGGCTGGTGGTTTCGAACTGCTGACTTTGTGGTTAGTCTCCTAACTCGTAATCCCCTGTGCCCCAGGGCTCCTTCCCGTCACACGGCTGGATCCAAACCGGCTTCACAAGTGAGGACCTAGGGTGGTTTGGGGGTGATTCAAAGCCAGAGGCTCCTGCCTGCCTGGCCGTTGCTGTCCTCTTGGGGGGGTCTGGCTGGAAGTGGGGGCTGAGTGAGAGCATGGTGGGCTGGACGGTAGGCGCATCACACCCCCATGGGCACAGTGTGACCGCCAGGGGCAGCCTGCTCTGTGGACATGCCCTGGACCATAACGGAGTCAGTTAGGGTCTCAGCCCACAAGGCCCTCACTGAAAACCAGACTTCATCTGGGCCCTCCAGCAGGCTCGGCCGTCCCCAGGGAGGCCCAACCCACCGTAACACAAAGCTGTGGAGACTTACCCCATTGTAAATGGCCCTTCTGGGTCCACCGTTGCTGATCCAAAGGCGACCCCCGGGGGGTAGGGATGTGAGGCTGTGTCTGGGAGCTCAAGCGGCAGCCCCTAGCAGGTGTGTGCACTAGAATGAGCCCCCTCAGGCTGGGCTCCTGTCTGTTTCACTGAGGCAGCATGCAGGAGCCAGCTGGATGGGGGTCTGGGAGTCTCTCTGTCCTAGGACCTGGGTCAGGCAGGCCAGAGATAAGAACCCGCTGTAGGCAGGCTATGCTGTGCCTGGCTCAGGGCTGGGTGCCCTGGAAGCATTCAGGACAATGATGGACCCTCCCACCCCGTGCAGCCTGGCCCCAGCTCTCAATCCTTGGTGGAGCTCATCCCCAGTCTCCCCTCTGCCCCACCCTCCACCCAAGTGCTCCTCGCTCGGCCCGGCTGACGGCACCCTCTCGCCTTTCTCCCATGAAGGGGCACCATCACCCCCGTTGGAGGAGCCAAGGGCGCTCGGACAGCCCCTCTGCAGTGTGTCTCCGTGGCCGAGGGCCACACCAAGCCCATCCTCTGCCTGGACGCCACTGACGAGCTGCTATTCACTGGCTCCAAAGGTGGGTGGGTGGAGACCAGCCTTGGGGGGGGGTGGGGGTCCGGGCTCCCCACCCTATGGTGCCTTGTCCCAAAAATGGGCTGTGTAGAGATGAGGACACAAACCCCAGGAGTGGAAAATAGGCAGGAGGAGGGGGCAGGGGGTATCCTGCTTGTTCTCCACCTGGTGGCTTTGTCCTCTTGACTGAGCTGTGCTCCTCCATGTCCCCACCCCACCCCATTACTGACCCTGGAAGCTCCATCCAACGCTTTCTCCCGGAAACAACACATGCCGGGGAAAACTGTCCTCAGCAGCAAGATAGAACCACGAGGGTCTCTACCTATGGTGGGCGGGAGCATAGCTGTTCATCTGGGTGTGACTGATGGACTCCCAAGTTCTTCCTTAGATGCCCTTGCTACTTGGGTGTTCGTCTCATCAGCCCTGAGCCTTTGCAGGGGCAGGCGCCAAAGACTTAGGGATTCTAGTCTCAGCACAGGACACCCGGGCAATACTCAGGGAACATCGGCGTGTGTAGTTTGCTTGAGAAAGGGGCCAACCTGCTGGGGTCACACTTTTTCCTCCTGCCAAGAGCCCCTCAGCAGCACCCCTGGCCTGCCCTCCTGGTGGCTGACGGCCCTCCCCTCCCTGCGCCTTGCAGATCGCAGCTGTAAGATGTGGAACTTGGTAACGGGCCAGGAGATCGTGGCTCTCAAGGGCCACCCCAACAATGTGGTGTCCATCAAGTACTGCAGCCACTCGGGCCTTGTGTTCTCCGTGTCCACCTCTTACATCAAGGTGTGGGACATCCGGGACTCGGCCAAGTGCATCCGCACCCTCACGTAAGTGCGCCGCCTGCCTGGTACGCGCCTGCCTGGCAGGCAGCAGTGGCCCCAGCAGCGGGGGTGTATGCCAAGCTTCCACAGAGCATAGCACAGCCCGGCTGGCACAGAGACCCTCACAGGTACTGGGTTTGCTGGTCGCAGTGGGACCAGGTGAGATGGGGACAGTGTCTGAGGCGGCAGCTTGGACTGCTCCTTTGGCCTACCTGGACCCCACCTGCATCTGGGTCCCCCAACCCTCCCCCCTGAGGTGTGCTGGGTGTTGCCAGATGAGTCCGAGAGAGACTGGGGCAATAGGATGAGCCCCCAGGGACCTGGCCCCCAAAGCTGTGTTGGCCTCCTGTCAACCTCAGTGAGGCCTTCAGACAGGGTGCGAATGCCTGGCCGTGCAGTCTAAGGCAGACACGCGGGAAACAGAACAAGACAGGTCCCTGCAAGCTGGAGCTGCTCTTTAGCAAACGTGTGTGCTTACACTGGAAGCTGCAAACTGCTGTGTGATTTGACTTGTCAAGAAGAGGCGGACAGAATGCGTATCATCACCTCCTTCTTTGTACAGATGAGGAAAACTGAGACTCAGAGAGATCCAGTGATCTCTATAAACAAGATCTAGACTTAAAGCCAGCCGTGGTCTTCCTGCCTTTCCACACCACGGCAGAGCTGGCTGAGAGGGCAGACGGAGAGACTTGTGGCTTCTGCTATGGATGGACTAGAGCGCTCTCCTTGTTGACCAGAAACCTGTAGAAGCTGTTGCTTCTCTCTGCCAGTCAGAGAATGCTTCTGGAAGAAGTGGCTGATGAGGGCTGGTAAACTATTTATCAAAACTGCCAGCTCAACCGTGTCTCAGTGTCTGATTCAGGGACATGAATTACATTGGCTGTGCTATACAGCCCTCCCCACTGACTGTCTCCAAATATTTTCATGACTCTTAACAGCTCAGTACCCCTTAAGCAATACTTCTCCATTCCCCCTGCCCCCAGCTCCTGGTAGCCATGGATACACACACTTTGGTCTCTATGCATTTGCCTGTTCTAGACATTCCATAGCGAGATCAAACAGTATGGGTCCCTGTGCATCTGACTTACCTCACCCAGCATAATGTTTTCCAGCCTCATCCATGTTGTGGCATGTGTGTTCATTTCTTTTTATGATTACGTAATATCCCATTGTATATATTTTTGAGGAAGCTTTGGAGGCTTAGTGGTTATGCGTTGGGCTGTGATCTACAAGGTCAGCGGTTTGAAACCACCAGGTGCTCTCCTGGAGAATAATGGGCCTTTCCACTTCCATAAAGAGTTACAGTCTCTGAAACCCACAGGGGCAGTTCTACCCTGTCCCATAGGGCGGCTCTCAGTCAGCATTGATGGCAGTGAGTTTGTTTTTGGGTTTTTTTAGAAAATTCGTGGGGGAATTCCATTATCCTTTCATTCTGTTTTCCCAGTAACTTTTGAAGCTCCCCCCACAAGAGGGTACACCCCTTCTAAAAAATGGAAAAAAGGGTCCTTTGGGTGAAGCTTTCTTAGTACGCATTTTTCCCACTAAGCAAGCATCATGCAACTCAGTCTTAGTTAGTGCACCCAGTGGCGTCACCTGGAAAGGCTCTCTGTGGTCACAGTGAATTTTTTCATAAAAGCAGGTTCGCTCAACCCTCTTTTTTTGTGATGGAGAATTTAACAGAACAGCGTGCAGCTGAGAAATTTTGTTTGCTGCTTGGGAAAAATGCCACAGAAACTGTTCTGATATTGAACACAACTTACAAGGACAGCACTGTGGGAAAAACTCAAGTGATTTTCTCCTTTCAAAAAAGGTGAAATGTCAATTGATGACAAACCTGGTTCTGGACGTCTGCCAACTTCCCAAAGGGAAGAAAATGTTGACAAATGCATGCATTTGTGCTTGAAGACCAACGAGGATGAACCCTTGAAATGGTGGGGAAGTTTTCTGGATGGGGAAGTTATCTTTGTTCAGCGAATTTTAATGGAAGATTTGGGAATGAGAAGGGTCTCTGAGAAATTTGTGCCTCAGGTTCTGACTGACCAGGAAAAATGCATCGAGTGGAAACATGCCGTGCTTTGAAAGAACAGCTCTGAAGTGATCCAGGCTTTTTTCAATCAAGCCAGTGGAAGACGCCATCATGTCACCCCAGAAAAGCTCGTCAAGTGGAATCAAGGACCAAGATGATGCTCATTTGTGTTTTGATTTGAGGGAGATAGTGCATTTGGAGTTTGTTCCACCAGGTCAGACTGTTAATCAAGCTTTCTATTTAGAGGTTCTGAAAAGATTGCATAGCAGTGTGCAACAAGAAAGGCCTGATTTGTTGCAGATGGGGGACTGGTTTTGCCACCATGACAGTGCACCTGCTCAACAGCCATCTCAGCACGCCAGTTTTCTGACTAAAAACAGCATGCCTCTCTTGCTCCATGCACCTTACTCACCTGAAATTCCGCCATGCAACTTCTTTTTATTTCCATGAATGAAGAGGGATACGAAAGGACAGCGATTTGACGCAGTAGAAGAGGTGAAGAAAAAACGAGGGAGGTGCTTCAGCCATACAAACAGATGAATTTGAAAACTGTTTCCAAAAATGGAATAGCGGATTTGACAAATGTATTAAGTGTAGTGTAGAGTATTTTGAAGGTGATAAAGTTGTATTGTAAAAAAAAAAAAAGTAAATGCATGGCTTTGGAGGCAAATATTCCATTTTTCGGGGGGGGGTGCCCCCTCGTATGTACCTACCCCTGCCCTGAGTCCAGTACAACTCAGCGATGCTGCGGTTGGAGTTTCACCATGGGGTTTCCAAATCCATTCATCTTTGCAGATGCAGACTGCCTCATCTTTGCTCCCGAAGAGTAGCTGGTGGGGTTGAACTGCTGATCTTTCAGTGAGCAGCCCAACACTTACCCCCTGTACCCCAGGGCTCCCTCATATATGTGCCACCTTTTGCTCATTCCTTCATCTGTTGATAGACACTTGTGCTGTTTCCACTGGCTGGCTGTCATGACCACTCTGCACTAAGCAGCGGTGTGCTGGCCTGTGGGAGTCCCTGTTTTCGGGGCTTTGGGGGTCTGTACCTAGGAGTGGAATTGCTGGGTCATCCTTTGTTTCGCTGTTTGAGGCACTGCTGAACTGTTTTCCAAAGCAGCTTCATGCCATTTTACATTCACACCAGCAATGCAGGAGGGTTCTCGTTTCTCCAGAAATCCTAGTAGGGCCGCAGTGGTGTGTTATATTGGTTTTGATGAGCATCTACCCTAAGATGAAATGACACTGCTGCTATAAGGTTGCTATGAGTTGGCATTGACTCAATGGCAGCGAGTGTGGAGTAGGCCTGAACGTGTCCATCTGCTTACTGACCATTTGTTTATCTTCTCTGGTGAAATAGCCCTGAAGTCTTTTGCTCATGTTTGCTAATTTGGCCTTTTGTTATTGAGTTGTAGAAATTCTTTATATATACCGGCTACAGACAGATAGGTGGGCCCCAAATGTTTTCTTCTACTCGGTAGCTCAAGGAGCCCTCGAGGTGTAGTGGTTACGTGTTGGGCTGTGATATGCTGGTTGGCAATTCGAGGGAGGAAGATGGGGCTTTCTACTCCCGTACACAGTGACAGTCTTGGGAACTCATGGAGGCAGTGGTGCCCTGCCCTCCAGGGTGGCCATGAGCCAGTATTGACGTGATAGCAGAGAGTTCGTGTGTTTGAGTTTTATTCTGTCGGCTGGTCGCGCCACCTTCCCGGCGCAGCCCTTCGGCGCCCGTCTTTAATTCTGAAGTCCGGTGCATTGCTTTTGTCTTCTGTTGCTCATGCTTTTGGTGTCAGGTCACCACGTGAGTTGCCTCCAGTTGAGTCCTGAAGCATTGCCCCTCTGTCTTGATCCAGAAATGTAATGGTTTCCGCTCTTACACAGAGGGATGGGGCTGGTTTTTATGTATGACGTGAAATCTAAGTTTCAGTCCCCTTGTTTTTCAAACAAGACCCCAACCCGCTGCGGGGAGCTGAGTCTGACCCATTGTGACCCTTTGGGACAGAAGAGAGCTGCTCCATTGGGGTTCTGAGGTCAGTCTTTATGGGGATCAACATCCTCATTTTCCTCCCGCAGAGCAGCTGGTGGGCTCAAACTGCCGACCTTGTGGTTGGCAGCCTGACTCGTAACCCACTACGCCACCAGGGTTCCTATATAGAAATCCGGTTGCTCCCCAAACCGTTTCTTGAAGGCACTATTTCTCTCTCATCAAGTCTACTTGGCACCCCTGTTGAAACTCAGTGGACTGTGCCAGGTGGGGGGTGTTTGTTACTTGGCACCCCTGTTGAAACTCAGTGGACTGTGCCAGGTGGGGGGTGTTTGTTACTTGGCACCCCTGTTGAAACTCAGTGGACTGTGCCAGGTAGGGGGTGTTTGTTACTTGGCACCCCTATTGAAACTCAGTGGACTGTGCCAGGTGGGGGGTGTTTGTTTCCTGTCCCGTGTGAATGGCCCATCTTACCCTCTGGCATCGCCTCTCCCTCCCGGGCAGGTCCTCAGGCCAGGTAATCTCAGGTGATGCGTGTGCTGCCACGTCCACCCGCGCCATCACCAGTGCTCAGGGGGAGCACCAGATCAACCAGATTGCCCTCAGCCCCTCGGGCACCATGCTCTACGCTGCCTCGGGCAATGCCGTCCGCATCTGGGAGCTCAGCAGGTCAGTGAGCGGGGAGGGCAGTGGTGTGGGTCTCAGCTTGTAGTGCCCACCTGAGCTGGCTAGCACATCACCTGCTCCTGCATCCTCCTCTCCTCCATGCTGCTGGGCATGTGCTTCTGGGGTACCAGGAGGTTCATGCTGCATTCTTGATCTTGCCTTGACGGGAGGAGAGTGCCCTGTTTGTTCTGGGGAATCCCCTCCACACCAACCCAGGGTCCCTGTGACCCACAGGCTTGTGACTGGGCCTCTTCCCACGGCAGGTTCCAGCCCATCGGCAAGCTGACAGGCCACATCGGCCCGGTCATGTGCCTCACGGTCAGCCAGACGTCCAGCCACCATGACCTCGTGGTGACCGGCTCCAAGGACCACTATGTAAAGGTACCTGTGGCCACATTCCACTCCGGGCTTCCTTCCCACACTGTTTCCCATTTCCCTCTGTTGTCCTGGATGTACTCATGAACATCAGTGCGATTTCTGAGAATTGATACCAGACAAATTCCTCCAGAGACCAGAAAGATATAGATCGTAGGGTTACTTGTTTATGAGGAAGACTTAGGGACACCCTCAAATGTCTAAAGATAGAATAACAGTCAAGTAAATTCTGGGCAGCCCACTGGCTGGAATGCGGTTCAGCTATTGCAGTGCTGAGCATGGAGGCCCAACATATAGCAGGAGCTTAGCAGTCATCTGCTTTGCTCCGACTATGCCTTCCTGAGCCGTGTGAGCCTGGCCGGAAGCCAGTAACTCTGCTCTGTGGAGCCCCTTCAGGGCAGAACTTTGTGCCAGAAGGTGTCCAATGGCCATTTTTTCAGGAGTAGGTCCCCAGCACTTTCTTCTGAGGCACTCCTGGATGGACTCGAACCTCCAACCTTTCAGTTTCTCAGCTGTTGAGTCCATTAACCATGGGCACCACCCAGAGACTCCAGATGCTAGAAAAAAGCCATCAAAAAAGACAAATAGGTGTTGTTTTATTGCAGATACATATTTTGCTTTTACTTAAAGTGCAACCCATGCATTACTTAATTTCTTAAAAACTAAAAAGTTGGTGATCCAAAGCCCCCTTTATTCTTGACCGCTTGGTGTCCAGGTGCAGGGTCTCCCAGCTACCCACTGACCCACTGCCTACAGAGATTTAGGTTAGTCTCCCCACCCTATTCCCAGTGAAATGGTCAGGACCATGACCTCCAGAATTATCTGTCCCTGAGATGTAGTGTGGAAGCCTTCTGGTGGCCTTAAAAGCTCAGCTGTTACAGGAGGGTCAAGGGTTTGAGTCACCAGCTTCTTGAGAGACCATTCTACTCTGACCTGTAGCATGGCTGTGAGGGGGAAGTGTCACACACAACAGAGGAGGCAGCAGTCCTTGAGGGCAGCCCTGGCCTGCTGGAGACCAGCCAATCTGGACCTGCCGAGGCTTTCATCCTGGCTCTCCCTTCCCCTCTGCAGATGTTCGAGCTGGGCGAGTGTGTGACCGGCACCGTGGGCCCCACCCACAACTTCGAACCCCCACACTACGATGGCATCGAGTGTCTCGCCATCCAGGGGGACATCCTGTTTAGTGGCTCCCGAGACAACGGCATCAAGAAGTGGGACCTGGAGCATCAGGAACTCATCCAGGTGGGCTGAGAGCTGGCTTCCTCTGCATCCACTGTTGCCCAACAAGGCATGGGGCCCTGAGGCTTCTACCACCTCCCCTGCCTTCCCTCAGCCTCTCTGACTCCATCAGCAGCTTTCTTCACTCAGCCAGGGATTGAAGGGGTGCTCAGTAGCCCTATGTCCCCACAGTTTGGTCCTCTCAGGATGCAGTACTGTCCACCACAGCAGGACCTCAGCCCAGCTGAGCCCAGGAGGCAGAGCCCTGACACGCCAGCAGAAGGTGGTGTGTGTGTGTGTGCGCGCCAGCTGCCAGCCTGGTGCTGGGGACTGTGATGCAGGAGGGACTTGCCAAAGACTGTGCCACTAACACAACAGGCTGTGTGCTCAGGGCCCAGGGCCACCCTTCTCCCCAATCCTCCCTCCTCATTGCTGGCCCCTCTCCTCCCACAGCAAATCCCCAATGCACACAAAGACTGGGTGTGCGCCCTGGCATACGTCCCCGGCCGCCCCATGCTGCTGAGCGCCTGCCGTGCGGGTGTCATCAAAGTCTGGAACGTGGACAACTTCACGCCCCTTGGTGAGATCAAGGGCCACGACAGCCCCATCAACGCCATCTGCACCAACTCCAAGCACATCTTCACGGCCTCCAGGTGGGTGCTGGGCCAGAGCCCCTCCTTGCTCCCAGGGGTGGGGGTCGCCACTCAGGTGCCCTGAATTTGTCCCTGCAAGCCTCTGGGTGCACAGAGCAAATCCTACGGTGCTCTCCTTTCTCTCCCTAGCCCATGGCCACCCTCCCTGAAGGCCCACCTGTGCCAGGCAGGGGAGCAGGGAGGTGCTGGGCCCGAGCCAGGACATGGCCACCCTCCTCCCACCCAACACACAGCATCCCCACCCATCCTGCCTCCATGCCATGTCCCTTGCCAGATACCTCTCAGATGTGGGGCAGCCCTGCCAGCTCCCCAACTCTGTTCCCATGCAGGGATGTCCCGCTCGCCCTCTTTCCTGGGGGGGTTCCTCAGATGCGCCTCTTCTTATTCCTTCTTGTTCCGACTGTGTCCCTTCTCTCCCTGCACCCCTCCCGCCGCCGCTGCCCGTCCCTCTTCTCTGTCTCGCCCCGTCTCTCCCACCACAGCGACTGCCGGGTCAAGTTGTGGAATTACGTCCCTGGACTCACCCCCTGCCTTCCACGCCGAGTCCTGGCCATAAAGGGCCGCGCCACTACCTTGCCCTGACCCCTGTCCTTGCCCTCCCTGTCTCCTCTCTCTCTGTCTCCCCCTCTTTCCTTCTCCATCTTTTTCTCCACTTCGATCTGAGCTGCTTCCTCACGGTAGGAGATTATTTTACTCCTCCTCCCCACGCTTCCTTCACAGCCTGCCTGACCTGCTCCCGCCCACACCAACCCCCTTCCAGCGGGGCAGACCCCGGGAGAGAGCAGCCAGGGAGCAGAAAGCAGAGGGGTGGGGGGCTTTCACACCTGCACCAATCAAAGCAGAAACCCAGGGCCATGGCCCTCCCCCAGAAGTACCTGCCCCGCCCCCCCCAGCCTGCCCTCCCCAGCCGCAGGAGGGGAGCTTGGGGATCTGGCCCATCTTTTACCTTGGGGCCAGCCAGCTGGGTCTGCCTCCAGAGTTGACCAGCCCCCTCTCTGTCCTCCTCCCAGTGACCTGACGGTGAAGTTCTGGACCGCCAGGCGCTTACCCGCTGGCCCACCCTAGGAGTGAGGGATGGCCCAGCCCCTCGGCCCGGCAGCATGGACAGCACGGAAGGGAAGCTGTGGCCTGGGCCAGACGGGGCCGGCTGCCCTCAGACAGAGGGTGTAGCCGTCCCCTCCTCCTCCCCCACTCCCTCCCCATCCCACCACAGACCCTCCCCTGCTTCTTGGGGAGAGAGAGAGAAGTGGGGAAGGAAATTAAGCTGTGAAGCCAAAGGGCATTGCCCTCTCTTGTCTCTCTCAGGAGGCTCAGCCTCCCTCCCCCCACACTGGTGGGCCTTACTTTCTCCCAGGGCCTGGCTCTGAGGGGAGGGGCCCAGCCCTTGGGTGAGCTGGCCTCCACCCTGCCCTGCAACCCCCCAGGCCAGACTTGTGAACCACTGCACCTGCCTCTGAGCCCACAAAGACAGTCCTCAGGTAACCACGGAAACCAGGGGCAGGCAGCGCCCCTGCAGCTGACCCTCACCCCTAAGACCACCAATAGCCAGTTCCCTTGGTCCCAGCCATCCCTTGAGTCCCCAACTCAGTTTTTTGAAGGGACCAAGGTGGGGGTGGGGCACTAGGAAGGTTCCCTTGGGAGAGCCGGTCAGAAATGCGCCAGTTATTTAATTTATTGTTTTTAATTTTTGTTTTTCTTGCTGTTGCCTCCTGGAAACTGACTTGAAGTTTCTTTCCACATGTTCTTCCTCTCTGCATTTGGGGGGCCAGGGGTTCCCCCCAAACCCATCCATGCCGCCTCCATCTGCTCTGCAGAGGAGGGAAGCCCCCCCCCTTTGGCTCCCCGCAGCTCTGATTAGTCCCCACATTGCTGCCTCCCGGGGTGGGGGCAGGGGCAGGGGTGGAGGGGTGACCCTCCAGTGCACCCCTGGCCTCCAGGCTGCCCGAGGCTTTGTGCCTTTCCCGCCCTAGGCCTGGCGCCCAGACTGGGCAGCCTTACGCCACTGCACAGCGCCACACGTGGGCCACCACCCCTCCGTCCAGAGCCCCACCAGTGTCGTGTGGAAGCAGCATGTTAGGCTGTGCCTCTAGGAAGCGACTTGGGGTGGGGAGGACACCCTGCCCCCTTGCCTCTCCCGACATCATCCCGCCTGCGCACCCTGCCTGCGGAAGGGTGGCGTTAGCCAGATGTAGCACAGTCTTCCCACCAGCTGCTTCCACGGGTCATCCCGAGCCACATTGTCAAGCCTTAAAACCAGCGTGGGGCAAGGAGCCCCAGAGAGGAACTTCCTCCTTTTCCGCAGCTGGGACTCAGACCTGAGGGAGTCCTTGCTGTTCCATCAGTGTTTGCGCAGCCCCCCACCCCCCCACTTCCGTGGGATTGTGAGTTTACAGTATTGAGGCCCCCCGCCTGTCCATTCTGGACTTTTCCGTTGCTTAACTGGTCTTGAACCCCAAGTCCGTTCTCCGGAGGACACGGTGATGCTTGGGTGCCTGGGTTTCCCTGTTCTCGGCCCCTTGCCCTCTTCAGCGCCGGGCAGGGTGGCCCCAGCATGGAGGGTGAGTCCTGGTGGGGCAGGGCCCAGGAAGCCACCCTGGCTGGGAGAGGAAAGACCCCTGCCCCGACTCCTCTGTGCCCTCCTGGCTGCCCTGCTGGAGGAGGTGCTGAAGGACAGGGTTTACAGGACAGACGCCTCCTGGAATACTGGTCTCCTGGAGCCCGGGACAGCTTATCTGGGGTAGCAGAACTCCCTCGTCCAGACACGCCCCTTTCCAACCACCCCCAAAGTGAGCACAAGTCCCTTCCCCGTCCCCATCGCTCCCATCTGAACGGAAGGTTTTGACCTTGCACCCCCGTAGGAGAGACCGGCAGCATGGCTGTTGACTTAGAAACCCAGCAGACTGTCCTGCCTCCCCCTGGCCGGGCACGCACGGGGCCACCAGGCCGGGCCCCGCGGCCCCGCGAGAGGTGCTCACCGCCATTGCCTGCGCGCGCCAGCTACCTCACGGCGAGGACCACTGTCTCGGAAACTCGAAGTCCTCCGCGGCCCGCGCCCGCCACCCCTTCTTTCAGGGACGCCGGGGGTACGTAGTCAGGGGCAGGCCCCTGCTCTCCGCGTTGCACACACATGCTAAGTGTGAGAAGCACAAAGTGGTTGTGATCTGAGCACAATGGCTGGGCTTGCACGGCCGACTCTAAGCCGCCATCCCCGTTCTGGCACCTCTCCGACGACCGCTTACCTCGGAGCCCACGGAAGACTCCAGGCCGCGTCACGGCCGTGCGCTACTGCCTGGGAATCGAGTCCTCCCTATGCCCTGCGCCCCAAATCTCTGAACACCCCAAGCCCAGCTCTCAGAACAGTTTCCTTATGGAGCCTGAAGAGTGTAGCCCCAGGGCCCCTGTATATGAGCCGACCGGCCAGTCCTCTGCATGGAAGGCAGCCCTCCCAGCCAGGACCCCAGGCTGAGCACCAACCCGTCGCTGTCGGCTTTTCTCCTGATTCCTGCTCGCGCAGTCGCACACCCGGAGCTGCCAAGGAAAGAGGCGAGGCTCAGAGGGCAGGGTGCACGCCCAAGCCTTTGAGGTGGTCAGGGTGCCACCTTCTGCTCCTGGGAAGAAACAGCTGTGGAGGGGGCGGTCCAGCCTCCCCCTCAGCTTCCACCTAGCATACCCTCCACCCAGCCTGGGGCGGGGCTGCGTGGGCAGAGGGCGGGTGAAGTATTCCCACGGTAGCTAAGACTTCCTCACGTCACCCGGTGCACGGGTGCCACCAATGCACAGACAGCTGCTGTGAGGTCGGGCACTTTGTGTCTCTAAGCTTGGCTCTCCTCCATCCACAGGGACTTTCGTTATGGGCCGGGGGCAGGCACAGCCCCCTTGGTGGTTCAAACTGAGCCTGTGCCTGGTATGTTTACCCTCCAGTTGTGTGGGCTTGGTCGGCTGGCAGCAGGGATGAGCTCCTCCCCATGGCGTGGCCCAAACCCTGGCTGTCCCTGTGCCATCCAAACAGGAAACGGCTCTTTTCTCTCCTCTTGGCCTAGCCTCTGGGTCAGGCTCAGGAGCCCGGGCTTGGCCAGTGCCCCCCACAGGCTTCCTGGGCCGGCCCCCCTCTCCTGGCTCCCAGAGCACTCTCTGCCCTCTTTTGTGCAGCAATAGAATTTGCAGGGAACATTCTGTTTTTTGACTTTTTTCCCTATGTCATCTCCCCATCCTCACCGCACCCCAACCCAGTCCTCTGAGCCCACATCCTGACGGCCTGGCCAGAGTGGGAAGGTGGGAATTGCTTCATGAAGACCTGAGTTCAGAGAGGACCCCTGAAGTGCATTGGGCCCTGCCCTGCCCACCAGCTCTTTTCTAGCTCTCCCCCCTGGCCAGGCTGCAGGGTTTTCTTGGGCTGATGCTCCCCTGGGCAACATGGCTAGCACAAGGTGTACATATACGTTTTGTACCTCGGCCGGCAACTGTACATAGTGTATGAACGTTATTTAAGCCTCTTGCTGTATATTTCTGTTCCTAGGTTGGATGTGTGCGTCCTAAGACGCTGTTCTAAATAAATAAAACACTTGAATGACCATTGTCTGGAAGTGTGGCGCCTGAGGGATGGAGGGAGGTGGGTGGTGGGGAGGACGGGCCTGATGAAAAAACTTGCTGGCCAGTCAGGGTGCAGTGTAGCAACGATGAAACATACAACTTTCCTCTAGTTCCTAAATGCTCCCCCCCCCCCCTCACTATCATGATCCGAATTCTACCTTGCAAGTCTGGCTAGACCAGAGGATGTACACTGGTACAGATAGGAACTGGAAACACGGAATCCAGGGCGGATGATCCCTTCAGGACCAGTGGTGTGAGTGGCCATACCGGGAGGGTGGGGGCTAGAAAAGGCGAATGAGTTACAAGGATCTACATATAACCCCCTCCCTGGGGGACGGACAACAGAAAAATGAGTGAAGGGAGACGTTGGACAGTGCAAGATATGACAAAATAATAATTTATAAATTATCAAGGGTTCATGGAGTGGGGAGGGAGGGGAAAAATGAGGAGCTGATGCCAGGGGCTTGGGTGGAGAGCGGATGTTTTGAGAATGATGAAGACAATGAATGTACAAATGTGCTTGACACAATTGATGTACGTATGGGTTGTGATAAGAGTTGTATGAGTCCCTAATAAAATGATAAAAGAAAGAAAAAACTTGCTGGCCGGCCAGTGAGTTTGGGGCAGGGCAGGCTCAGAAGCAGGGCTTGGAGAGTGTTGACTCCCCGCCAGACTCTGGGCACCGCCTCCAAAGGCACTAACCATGGCCAGGGAAGAGGGCCCTGGCATTTACGGAGCACCTGCTATGGTCCAGGCCCCGGATTCTGGCTTTCTCCCCACCGATGCCCCCTGACTCCCTGCGTGGCAGGTGCTGGCCTCGTTTTGGAGACTGACAGCAGAGGCAGGGCTCGTCCACGTACACAGCCAGGAAGAGCAGACCTGCCCCAGCAGGAAGTGGGGGTCAGGGGAGGCCAGGGCTTTCCCCACCCGTCATGAAGAGGAGGCACAAATTAGGAAACCCAGCCGCTGTGGTCTCCACTCCTTTCTAGATCAGAGCTTTCCCATTTGAACAATCACCATAAACCATGCCCCACCCAGTCTGGTGAGTGGGGCCCACCTCCTCTGGGTGGAGGTCCACAGGGTGCTGGGGTGGGGAAAGGGGGGCCGCAGGGTTGGACCCAACCATGAGAGCTTTTGTATGGCTTTACTTTATTCTTGTTTCGTATTATGAGGGAAAACAAACCCCAACCCCAGTTGCCATTGGTTCTGGCTTGAGGTGCCCCCTGTGGGTCAGAGTAGAACTGCTCCACGGGAGTTTCAATAGCTGGGTTTTTTGGAGGGAGATCATGGGGTCTGTGGGTGGTCTCAGCCTTTTGGGTTTGGGCCACCTACAGACTCCCAGCCCCTCTCTGCTTTGTCTTCCTGGCTGGAGGAGTGGGGGTGAAACCAAGACATGGGGGAGCTGGTTTGTCTGTTGGGAGCTGCCCTGGAGCCAGGACCCTACAGCTGTTCCTCTCCTGGCCCCTCAGAGGCCATGTAGCCAAAGGTTTTCCAAACATTACCTGAGGGTCTTTGCTCTCTCTCTCTCTCTCTCTCTCTCTCTGCCATCGAGTCTATATTCTGACTCATAGGGACCCTGCAGGACAAGGTAGAACTCCCCAGGTGAGTTTCTATTCTTTACAGGAATAGAAGACTCAATATTTGTCATCCCAGGGCATGAGAGGTGGGGCAGGATGACCGAGCTGAGAAATGTGGTTTGCATATTGCTTTAATGTAAGTATTAGGGTTCTATTTGGTTTGGACTTTCCAGACTATCGAAATAATATGTTTATTATAGAAAATTCAAAAAGCAAAAGAATGAAAAAAAACCTCAAGTAGGGTGTAAGCTAGGAACCCCGGTAGCAGAGTGGGTTACACTTGGGGTTGCTAACTGCAGGGTCAGCAGTTCAAAATCACCAGCTGCTCCACAGGAGGAAGATGAGGCTTTCTACTCCCATAAAGAATCACAGTCTCAGAAACCCACTGGGGCAGTCCTACCCTGTGGTACAGGGTTGATGGCAAAGAGTCGGTATAGATCTGTAGCAGTGAGTTTGGTTTGGTTTGGAGGATATATAAGCTATAGGACAGCTGTCCCCAGGCACGAGGAAATGGCACGTCTCAGAATTTGGTGAGAGTGTTAATATTTCCCTTCTGGAGTGGTGCAAACACTTAACTCTTTCAGAGACTGGAGGTTCGAGTTTATCAGAAGCACCTCAGAAGAAAGGCCTGGCATCTACTTCTGAAAAGCTATCCACAGAAAACCCCACGTGGGGGCACCACGGGCCAGCATCATCCCATGGAAACTGGTCATTCATTGTGAGGGCTCTGTGGCAGCTGAAGAGGGACTTGCCCCTGCCCTTCTCTGTGCAGATGACGGGGGCCACGAGACGCTCCATCCAAGTCAGTCTGCCGGCCGTGGAGGGGCCTTCCTGTTAGGACATTTTGTTATTGTCAAAGGCAGTAAGTAAAACACCTGGCAGGGGCTGACAGTGGGAGCAGCAAGGGATGGTGCACAGGCCCCGAGACAAGCCCCAGAGGCTCTCCCGGGCAGGTAGACCGGGGTCCACTGGAGCGGACCACTGCCACTGGAGCAAGGCTAAGCTGCTGGTGTCCAGGCCGTGTGCTGTCCCTTGGGGCTTGGGCTGGGCCCAGGGGCATGTTCACAGAGACGCCCTGTGGCTTTCTGTGTAATCCCCAAACTCTCTGATCTCCGGGGATATTTTGTGAGCTCCCTCCCTGCCCTTTCATTAATCACACAACCAATTACCCTAGCCACAGTGCACTCTGTTGTTTCCCACCAAGGACCCTGCCCCACTTCACTGTCCTCTCAAGTAGAAGTTCAAGCTGATGTTCAAAAGAGCCTGCATGCGCTGACCTCAGCCCCTTGGGCAGGGTGGGAGCAGGGCATGGAGGGCGGTGCTGGCAGGGGCTATCCTGGAGGCAGCTGGCTGCAGGGACCAGTGGCTCTGGCTCCTCTGTCAATCAGGAACAGACAGGACTGGGGCAATAGAGTTCATACTTGTCCCTTTATTATAAAGGCTCTGTTGGGAGACCTTTTCTGCTCAAGGCTAGGGGCACAGGCTACTTGTCACAGTCTTGTCTGGCTGGGCCAGAGGCCCAAGGAGGCATGCTCAGAAGCAGCGCCTCCAGAGCCTCTGCCAGCAGGAGCAGGAGGTGGAGGTGCGTTCCAGGTGCATCTTCTTCCTGGCATCCAGGATGTAGCAGGTCTGGGTGGCCAGGCAGCTGACCAAAGTGTCGGGGTCTGTCTGCATGCACCTGAGGGCTGGAACGCAGACACTGTGAGCGAGGCAGGAGGGTCTGGGATCTTCAAGGAGGTTCATCAGGGTGACGCTTGGGAAAGGTGTGGGGCGTGGGATGGCGGGGCCAGGCAGCTTTTAAACGAGCAAGGGGTTCTTCTTTGAGAAGAAGCAAGACTATACCCCTGCCGTGGGGTTCTGCAAGGCCCAAGGCCCAGCTCAGCCTCACGACTGATTCTTCCCATCCATCCTCTTTCCCCTTCCCCTGGCTCTGCCCTGCCCCTTCCTGTGGGAGAGCCACCAGCGAAGTCCTTGGACTTCCAAAGAGGGATGCAGTCTGAGTGCCTGCAGACCTCCAAGCAACCAGTGTCTGGGATATGGTGCCTGGGGGGAGTGAGATGGAGGGAGAGACGCGCATGGGGCAGTGGGAAGGTGTGTCTACATGGGGGCTGGAGAACAGGGGAGCAGCAACATGGAAGTTCTGGGGTTCCACCAGAGAGATGCCTGGGATCCCCGTGCCCTCCACATAAGGAAAAGTTGGGTGTCCCTTCTGTGACGAATTCAGGACTTGACCAAGGGTTACCATGGGTGAAGGAGGATGAGTCGTTGCTTAGGTCGGGGGGCGGGGGGCATTGAGTTGATGCCAATGGTGGTGGAATGATTGGAAAAGGATCTCAATGGCGGTGGAACAACAGGAAGAGCATCATCAATGGCACTGAGTGATACAGGGAGAAGCTGTGGAATTGGAGGATGTTTTGTGGTGTGTATGTTTGCCACAATTAAAAAGCAATCATCACACGAATTACAAGGAGGAGGAAAATGTTCTGGAATTCATTCTGGTGATCGTGGCTACCACTCTTCTTGATAGGACTGAATTATTGAACTGTATGGTATGTGGACGACATGCCCATAAAACTGTTGGAAAGAAAATCATTCCGGAGCCTGTCCTGGTGGGTGACAGGACTTGAGCCCCTGGGATGGGTGGGAGTGGGGGGTGAAGGACCATGGGGGCGGGAGGGCTCTGACCAACTCCCCCAACCCTGAATGCCTGAGAGATAGCCTGCCTCTCCCCTCCTTCCGGAGGATAAGTTCCGGAGGCTGCATCTGCCCTCCCCTCTGAGCCGTGCCCGCACCCAGTGCTCATCAGGTTGATGCTCACCTGTGTGTGCCTCCTCAAGTTCAGTGGTGTCTTCTGTGTTTATGGCCGGGATAAGCTGGCCTACAAGGGCACACAAGGGAGCCTCAGTGGCCCAGGAAGGCCCTTGGTGGACCATTCTGGTGCAGAACCCTTGCCCCACCCAAGATACACTTACTGCCACCCCTGCCCTTTGTCTTTGCTCCCCCGCTGCTGGGAGTGGCCAGCAGAACTTTCTTGTGATGCCTATGGGGCTCCCCCAGAGAATGTGGGAGAGGATTTACCATCCTCACGAAGCCAGACTTTCTGGAGCCTTGGAGGCCTCGCAAATCCCAACAATCATTGCCCCGAGATAACCTCTAAACCTTAATCCCAAAATATCCCCTGAAATCTTCCTTACACCAAACTCTAGTTGGAGCTAACAGAGCTCTGGGTGCCACTGAATTGTACGCGCAGAAACTGGAGTCAGTGTGTTTGGTTGTGCATGTTCTCAAGGAAACAGCAAGTTCTCATAAGTAAACGAGTTATTCCCCCTGCTTTTCAGAAGGTTCGCAAGTACCCTGGGCTGGAGAGGGCATGAGAGCCCTTGGCTCTGAGGGTGCTTTCCCTG